ACAGAGACCTGCTGCAAACCCCATGGAAACCTATGGTTCCAAGGGACAAATGTTGGCGGGTACTTTGAGAAGAATTTGGAAATAAAACCAAATTCTAAACCTGCATATCGATTGCAATAGAAGGTCCCAGCTTCTGTAAAAATCTGCTAGTTAACTATGAAAATTTAAAAAGTGTGATGCAAATTACAAACTAAGAGCTCTTTTTTTTTTTCCTTTACTTTTTTGGAGTTTCACAAGTGATTCGTAAGTAGTCCTGCAGTTTGTATTAATGAGACAGTACAGGACAGCAAGCCCTCACCAACGAGTCAGGCAATTCACATTTTTACCAAGGAACCAGTAGTTACCACCGGTCCAGAAGTCCAAAAGACGACCACATTGAAGGGTGGATTTGCCAAATTTTAGTCAGACATATTTATTCTTATGGGTGTAGTCCTAAACTCTTTGATCACACCTTGCATTTTTGAATATTTTGGCTAACTGGATCCATTTAAAAAGAGAACCGTGTGAATATGGTCATTTATACAAGAGAAATGGTGTTATTAACACAAAATCTAATGTTCACATTAGGGCTGTGCGATATGACCAAAATCTCATATCCCGATATCAAGACATCTATCGTCCGATAACGATATAAATCACAAAAATGTAACATTTTCTGTAAATTCTGTGAATCTCGGGCAGCTCGACTTGCGTGAAGTGTTTCCAGCTGCGCGTCGTGTACCTGGAGTCGAGTGTTTTAACCAATGCATGAAACTATACATTTTTAGACGTAAGTCGTAACGGCCGCCATTTTCTTTGTGAGTATTTATTACACAGCGTGCTGCGGGCAAAAAACCTGTTCTAATGTTTGAGTCTAAGGTTTATTTTTTAGCACCTGACGGCTCTTTTTTGCTTCTCATCCGTAAATACTTTGCATTTTTCACGTGATTCAGTTTATTTTGAAAAGTCTCAACAGGATCTTGAGCTTTATTGTGAAAGGTTTATGTGGAAAATAAACGAGTGGACACGCGGTGGTTTTACCGTCGCTGTTGCTAACGACAACGCATAAAAACAAGCGCTTGTCTGTCTGTAGTGTGATTATATTAAATATAAGAGAAAGAGAGAACTTTAAGAAATTAATATAGCCACTACAGTGACCATCAAAATAATGAAAAAATATTGCTGTAAACAGTTTATTTTGCGACACCACGAAACAAACGATAGCGTAACATGAAACGATAGATGTTTTTATATCCTCATCCGATATATATCGTTATATCGAACAGCCCTAGTTCACAACCTTGCATTCAGATCTCAGTCTACAAAAAGTATGGACACATTTCTTTACTAAAGTTTGAGTTTCTCCAGCTTTAAATAAAAATGGAAGTATTTAGAATTTTTGCATGATCAAAATAATTATCAGTTCTGTAATATTTGCTGGATTAAGCCAATTTAGGTTACGTAACACACCTTTATTCAAACCCTTTGTTTGTTGTATTTAAGTCTGTGCTCCATATGTTTTTCACTAATGAGACAAAAGTCTCTAAATGCGTTGTTGTCAATTATTAGTCCAAGTGCTCAGTCTGGATAGTCTTAAATAATTTCTGCACAGAAAAAAAACAAAAAACAACAGTGGCTAAACAGACTGTACAAGCTGCATACTTGTAGTTTTCCCACAGCGTGCTAGAATTTACCATCAACCATCAATTTCTTAAACAGCAAAGCACACATGAAGCAGAGCTCTACATACCATCTCATGTGTCTCATCTGACAAAGTAAGTTCCCCTTCACACTTAATCACTTTTATTATTAGTAAGACAGACACCAAGCTTTAAAGTTCCTTAAAATGTCTTGTTAAGTCAAATTACGAGAAAGAAGAACAAAAGAGCACCTTAGAGCAGAACATTTGGTATTTAACAACAGCCTGATATCACACCGAGACTGAGAAAATGATTAATGTACTATTTAATTAGTGAGGCAGGCTTATAAGCACTTTGTGTTCAGGAGCATATGGATTATTGCCTTTTGTGCTTTATTCAGCATTGAGTACATGGTGGATTTCTTTTCGAGTACCTTTAACATACATTATGTTGGTTTTTTTTCTTCTCTAAAAGCTGCTCATAAAGCCACTAGTTTTACCAGCCAGCTTCATTAAATCAACACATTTTCATGAACAAGTTCAAGTTAAATAAAAGTCTTAATGTACTCTTGTATTGTATTGTCTAGATTCGTCTGAAGCAACAATCCTCCTACCACACAACACACCTACAGGAAAATGTTCCAATACATAATAAATGAAGTGACTATTAAAGACAAACGGGGCTTTCAGCGAACACAGTGGTCACGTATACCATTTCCAATTTGTTATTCTTATTTTCTGAGATAGTTTTATATTTTGTCTGCATTCTAGAGACATGTGCTCTCAGCATGCCGTCAGCTGCTGATAAAGTATTGGTACCGGCCTGTGAAGCAACAAGAAATGCGATCCTGTACCACTGATTACAGTCATTGCACCTTCAGAAACACACCGCAGTCCATTAGCAGTGGGACACTGACAGATTTTTCTTTTGCTGTGCTGGCTTTGTACTGCAGCACATTCGATTTGAAATGAAAGAGAAACCGAGGGGTTCATCTATTGACTTTTCATATACAACCTCCAACTTCAGATAGTGAAATGTTTCCAGTAAATAAAAATATACCAAGCGATGTCAACAGTGAATGTTTTAGAGGATTTTTATGCTGGATCAGAGGACCACACACACACTCCATGGAGAAAAGGACTGAGCCACCTAAACATTACATCTGCAGGAGCTGCTCAGCAATAGAAACTCATGACATGAAGGTCCCAGCTTTTTTATTATATGTTATATATGTTAATGGCAGTTAATCTGCAGCTTATTCTATTGCAGTACCTTGCTTGTATTCAGTGAGCTCTTTCGACTCACTCTTTCACAAATGTTTGTGAAAGCAGACTGCATGGAGAGATGCTTGATTTTATATATCTGTAGCAACGGGATTAAGAACACCTGAGTTCAGAGATTAAGAGGTGTGGCCTTATAATTTTGCCCAATATAATATATATAGGTTCATTGGTGGTGACAAAGACGCATCAAATTATTGCCCTCTTTCTCCATTTGTGTTTTAGCATCTTTCACCGTGTTGTTTGGATTTTAAACAGCAAACAGCTTAACAGGTTTGCTACAGAAGATGTCCATTTTCCAGCAAAGTCAGTAGTCACCTTTGTAGCATTAAACTCCAATTAGATGTTTGAAAGTAGCTCCTGAACATAGGAGAGCATGTAGCTGCTAAAGACACTTATTATTTTGAGAGTCCCAGCAAATTTATACTTAAATGTATGCCGTTGATACGTTGTAACAGCAAACCCCTCTAAATTAACCCGTGTTACAACCTGTCTGGAAATGTAACTTGTGATTGGCCTGTTCAATACCTCTGATTGCTCCTGTGCATTTCCCGATAATGTTTTGGTGTCGTTTTGGAAGATCAGTGAGAAAACAACAATCATTGCTTCAATGTAAGGACTCACTGATGTCAGCATTTTATTCGTTTCCATCTTAGCTGGGACTGCATAAAAAGCACCAAGAGACAATCACAAGTTAATTAACACATAAAACACCATGCATGAATGCTGGCAAGCGTGTCAGCCACTTACGTCGATTACAGAGTAGGCTCTGCGAACACTCACAACAGAAGTCGAAATCAGCCGTTAGGCCACAGTGAAACCACATCTAAAAACAATTCAGTTGTTAGACTTCTCGCTGTGACTGTGAAACTTGTTTCTGTTCTCACTAAGTGGCCAAAACATATCAGTAATGTATTGATGATCTTACAAGCGAAGTATTAGCAGATTTCCCAGAAGTGGATTCAAAGTAGTCCTAATGAAGGCCACTGAATAAAGTTTATAGTCTGCAAGAAACCCCGAATTCACTATGAGTGAAATCAGATTTTCAGACCAAGTTTCAACATTAAACCCATTACAACCTTAACTGTATGTGAGGGACCATTGGAACATTTTATTTAAGAAAAGAAAAAGTCCAAACTACTGTTCTTGATTGAACAATGTCTCAGATGCAATATTTGCTGACTCCTCTGTATGCAGATTCTTACTGTAAAATTTAAGCTGCTGTTTGACAGCACTGAGCTTTCCTTCGGACCTCGACAATTTCTAAACCTAAAATATGCAACAGATGACTCGGACTAACAAAGTGAGACGAGTCAAGAATGGTGCGTCTGTTTCACTCTAAGTGCAATGGAGTCTCTTCTTTCAGCTGTCAGCTCAAGCTAAAACTTTCAAAAGGTGAACTTCTCGGCTCAGATCGCTTTTCTCTCGACCAACTGCTGAGCTGACAAAAACTTTCCATCTTTCAGCCGATGCTTCTCTGCTCTCCTGCTCCTCTCTCTCTCCTTCACACACGCACATTACACAAACCTGCACAAATACCCTCACTTTTCTGTACCATTTTGTCTCATGAGCACAGCGACACTGAAGCTCAACTCCCATGGCAATTGTGAAGTATGTGCATGAAAGCATCCAACCTGTTTAATTCAAATAAAGAAGAAGTGCTTCAGGCACAGCAGCCCCCAATGCTCAACATTGTGAAGAAGGAGAGTTTGCAGCCAGTAAACCAAATTTGTAAAGATTGACAGTACTAACATGCAAACTCCAACACAACAAGCACTTGTGAGGAGTTGTAATGATCCACAAACTCGCTGCATTTGAAATAACCAGCAGCAAGAAGCAGCTGATAATGAGATAGCATCACAACTTACTTCTTCTAAAGTGTGTGCTAGCTGATCTGTTTCAAAACACAATAAGCACTGCATTAACAGATGAAAATATCCAAGTCTGCAAGGACATTACAGTTTAAAGGTGAGAACCTCTTTGCATGGAATGCTAATGCACGGAGCACGAAAAGCATTCAGACCAAGAAATCGACTTTTAAAGATTTCAAAGCCACTTAAAACTACAAAAAGGTGAAAGAAACATCACAAATCAATCTTACTTTGAGTAGTCTTCATTATCTCTGTCACAGCGTGAGTCCTTATGTTTCTCCCAGTCTTTGCCATGTTTACATGTCGTCAGCAGAATAATATCTTCCCCATTGTGGATGTGATACAAAGCATTCCTGGTCTCCGAACCTATACCAGTTAAGTACCTTTTCCCTTTGAAAACCAGCTGGTACTTCCTGGAAGGTGGTGCATCGTTAAGTGTCAGATAACCTATGCCCCCTCCTTTTAGCGGATGATCCTTTGAGAATAGAGGGATGGAAATATCATAGTTAGGTCGGAAGTTGACAACATCTGCACTGGCCTTGGCCAGCATGGCCTGTCCCACCTCAAAGCCCAAATCCTCAGTGTAGTCCGGCCAAGTCCCAGAGTAAAGGTTGAATATGAGGTGATTCCTGCCATCGTTCCACGTGGGTAGGTTCTGGATACGCGATCTAATGTTTTGGACGTACTGCACTGAGAGCTGGTCCCTGTCCAATGTGTCCACAGCTAAAATAAAGAGACAGGCCCTCAAAGGGTCTGTGGTGTGGAACCGGGACTCTTCAATGGAGGTCAAGATCTTCTTGTAGGTCTCTGAGATCTCGCTGCCTCTCTGTTGAGGGTAGATGTAAACCTTGAATCCCGACTGGCAGCGAGCAAAGTCAAAGCAGGTTTCCATGCGGCAGCGCTTGTTCTTGTAGATGTTGTCACGGATCGCCCGTCGTTCACGAGGGGAGGTGTGCTGATGATGGAGCTGAGGGGTGTCCTCCTGTATCCACAGAAACAAATGTATCTATTAACATCACACCAATGTTTGTGCAGTACAGTCAACTCTCCATTAAAACAAATTCCAAAAAAACCCCAGAAACGAATAAATAGTTTGCACTCAAAACTGCATCTCTGACCTAATGGGATTTCTAGATAGTGACGCTTTTAAAAGTTGTCTCCTGCTGAAAACTGCTTTTGAAAATTCATGGCTGGAAACTGCTCCCTCATCATTACTGACTGGCCTGTTGCATTACTTGCAATCCTGAATTCTTCAGCTGGTAATTTGTGCTTGATTTCCCCAAAGCAATGGTGCTTAGCCATCTATGCTTGTAATCCCTTAAAGCAAACTAATGTCTATGCACAAGAACTTGCATATCTGCTTAGACAGCAGTATGTGAAAAGAAACAAAGTAAAGCAGTGTAGTTGGATATGCAGAAAAGCCACAACGTGACACGCTGCATTGATGCCATGAATTGGTACTCACTTTGCAATATCCACAGCATTTTCCCCTTAATTCTGAATATCGCTGTAACTTCCTTGAATTTAAAATTCTTTTTAAAGTGTTTTTGCCTTCCTAAAAGTTTCCTCTCTCTTCACTTCTTTCTATAACACCTACCACCGCCAACGCTTAACACTAGGCTATTTTCAGCATGAATGCCTGGTAAGAGCTCAGCCAAACAGAGATGTTTCGTTTGCAGATATTTTGATTTGAATGAAAGAATCTTTTTTCACTGGTAGAGAAAATACTAAAAAAAAAACAACAACATCATAGTGTTATCATCATCATCATTACATAATTCCCCATAGAGATCAATAAAGTATTGTGATTCTGATCTTGTGACCCCCCCCCCTTACAGCTTACAATCACAAAAGCTTTGAAACCATCCTCCTTAACTCAGTTTTACTGTTCTGTCCTGTTGTTGGACTTTCATTTTGATCACTAAACGCTTATAAATTGGACTTTTTCACTTCTTTTTGTTTTTACTTAAAGAGCTTTCATTGTTTCTTTTCTTATAAATCATTCCAGTCTACCTCCTGCTCTCCTCCCTCCAAATACGGCTCCAGCAGCTTGGTCGACTCCGGCCAGTGTCTGGGTGGTCTGGATGGATTTCTCTGGGGCAATGGCTGGGGCTGGTAGTACACTTCCTTACTTTGGCGGTAGTACTGGTATTCTTGTTGGTGGTACTGATGATACAGGGGGTACTGGGGAAACTGATGATACTGGTATGGCTGCTGTTGGAACTCCCCAATTTGCAGACCCCACAGATATATGAGGAAGAGAAGACCGGCCCCCACAGACACAAGCAGGTACCTCTTCTTGGCCTGCATGTGTGCTGTAGGGGGAGGAAAAGGAGGAGGTGGTGGGTCTGGGGAGGGAAGAGAGGAGAATAGGGTGGAGGTTCACAATAAAACGAGGTGGGCAGCAGGTGTGAGAATAGTGATGGAGCTGAAAACAGATCAACTTAGAGATTAAAATAAAACAAGTATTAATAAAAGGGAGTAAAAGCGTTGACAAAAGGATGCCAAAAGAAAGCAGGGAAACGGGAACGAGGAAATGACGAGGAGAGGGGTTGCAGGGAGGTAGATGCAGGTCGGCTCTCTACCCACAACTCGGCATTTTGGGTTTTGGCGTCACTAAAAGAAAACATAAATAGAAAATTATCAATGAAATAAGATATCGGAGTTTCTGAGACAAACATTTTTTTAAATAAATAATTGATACAATATTGCACGGACAAAATCAGAATAACAGCGTAGAAGCTCTGTGAAAAATGTTAAACCATATCTGAGCACCTTTACTCAACACAATACATGTCATAAATACACAAAAATGTGCCTAAAGACACGGCATTAAAATAATAAAAGCCCAAGCTGATTTGTACACGTTAATTTTGTTTTGATATTTAACTTTTTCAAAAAGTTTTTGTTTTTGCTAAATGTGACATGGACGGCTCAGTAGCGCTTCTGACTTTCTTAAATAGTATGCAGAGCCCGGTGTTCGCTTAAAAACTGAATTGCCTGATAACGGTGGCTGTTTCGACATCATCGTCACAGCGCAGGGTGTCTCGTTAGGGGCGAAAGAGTGTCGCTTGATGACAGGTTCGCCACTAAAATGCAGCATTTCTGAAGGGAGTTTGCAGCGAGCTACGCGTTCAACACATGGGCTGTTTTTGCCAGGAAAACCACCTCTATTATTAACTCTTTAGGAATTTCCACCTTACAAATTATATTTCATAACTCTTTAGTAAGCGTAATTCCTAATTGAATCCTCTCACCTGTTTGTATAGAACACCTGTGGTTCCAGGAAGTGTCCGCTGCTCTCCCCTCCAGCTCGTGGAGGAATATCCACTTCGGAAACACATTCTTCATGAACCCTCGAACTGTAAATCCATTAGCAAATGACACGCTATGTTGAAACCACGTGCGGAAGGAAATTCACAGAGCTCACAGAGATCCACTGTGCGCTGCCTTCATGTTCCGCCGCGTCCCAGTCACAAACTTTCCGCGAGACAGGACCACAGTCCCGGCGGAAAACACAACACAGCGAGCTGTGAACGCGATAGGTTCCCACAGTGAGAATTCAAATGCACACTCATCTGCCAGAAGAGCCGCGATCACAGCGACAGCATCCATCCAGAATTAAGTCGGTTAAACAAGGCGCGTGCATCTCCAATCAGCATAAGCCATGCCCCCCTCTCTCAGAAACCCACAGCAAGAGAAGACCCAAACTTTGAAATTGAAATCCACATCCCCCCCTCTGTGCGCTGCCGCTCACAGTCAGAAATGAGCAGAAATCATCATCATCCCAGGTAAGTTAAGGAGACGCCGGCGCACCTGATCTGGAGAGATGCGTATCAATAAAATCCTTTCAGGAGCGTCTTCGACCGGCGGGAGCGTTTCTCTATGGAGTAAAGCAAATGGATCAAATAAGCATCACAAGAGAACACTGATGTTCTTCTGGGCTATCAAAACGAGAATACGGGGTTCCAGTAGCATTTCCATCCTCACGTTTCCATCCTGAAATCCTCAACTGGATCCGAGCTGCTGCACCGTACAGCATCCAGCAGCAGCAGCAGCGCTGATAAGCCAGACAGTAGCAGGCTGGCAGACTTGGGGGGGGATCGGAGTATGCACGGGGAGTCTGTTTGCTCCGATAAGGTGCAGGAGCCCGCCATAATTCAGGATCTCCCAGTTTGCATTTGTAAATGTGTTTGTATCTGGTTAATGGAGCGTGCAACAAAAACACAAGACGTCCCAAGAAATTACTGAAATCACAGATCACGGGGAAGTCCCAGAGGTGCACTCACAGGTCCTCTGGGTCATTCCTGCTTTCATTTTACAAATCAAACTCCATTCAGAAAACTGCAAATGTTGGACTTTAAAAAGTTGTAAAACACGACTTGTTGCAATAGTACAGTTTAACCATGTGGGATGCATGTCTTTTACATCTTGTAGCTGTTTCAGCCAACGTCACTGAGTTCTGTTTAGCGCTCATTTATTATATTTTGACGACACGCTGAAATTGCAGGCAGTAATTTGAGGAGTCTGTGCGAGTTTACGCTATACCTGTGCATCTTAAGGTTAAGATGGCGTATAAAGATCGCGCAGGGATTAGTTACGTCTCGGTGTTTTGCAAACATGAGAACTTTTAATTAACTCGTGGAATCGCTCAGTGAGTCCAATATTGGGCCCAATTATTCAACTTTGACCATCTGGTCCACTAATCTATGTGTCTGGCGCTTAATTCATGTAGCTGCTTAAATTTGTATTGATGCAACTGATGGAATAAAATTAATTTGCAAAGGATCTAAATAGATGTCATTATCTCATAAATTAGGGTTATACAGATGTTGTGAAGCCGCAACGCCACAAATGGTTGGTGCAGCAAACAGCGCCATCTTGTGGCAATTTATTTCAGCCTACATTTTTAAAAGCAGCTCCAGGTCTGTGTTATTCATATAAATCTGGCAAAAATGTAGAACTTTGTAATGATAAAAACCAAATAACTGGATCTTCTCGGGACCAAACAGTACTGGAAGGCAAGTGAGCTTTTTACAGTGAGGCATGTCAAACAGGTTTTTCAAAATAACAGCTCAAACTATTGCCGTTTTGGAACATAAATGGACCGTGTTGAAAGGAGCATCCACGCTGCAGAGGCTCTGCATACCGATTTTCAAAGCTGTGCCAGACTCCTTCAGGCAGGAAGAGGCACATGTCTGACAAATAATTTAGCTATAACTGCATATGGCACTTTAATATTAATCCACACTCCCTCTGATGCTGAGCGGTGATAGAGACATTTATGTAGAAGTCGTGGAAGAACAGAGAGAGCATAATGCAGTAAACATCTCTCTCTTGCATCTTCTGCTGTGCATGCTGCAATATGCATCAGGTATTCAGACTTTTACTTTTCATTTCTTTGGTAAATTTATATTTCTTAGCTCTTACATTCTCTTAAAGTGCTCAAAGTTTAGTGGTCAGAGTGGTTTGCGGATTTTACTCTTAGATTTGATCAGTTCTTCCCCCCCCCTTCTTCATGTACCGCATTAATTGAAGTGTATAGAAAAATTCAGATGAGCCCCTTTTTTCTCTCAACAGCCTCTAAAGCCGTCACTAAACACCTTGTCATTGATGCACCTTTATGGGATTTTCCTGCTCTGTGGACCCTTGCCATGACTTGTGAGCTGTATGAATCCTGGATCTCAAATGTGCAGAGAATGGGCAACCCTTTCAGGTGGTAACTTATTTGAGAACTTGAAAAATAATACGAAAGAATTTCTAACCTCTAATCTGCAAACTGTTAATCTTTGGATGTTCGTGTAAAACACCGCCAGATGCACCAGCCTCTTTCTGAATGACAGAGTTTGCCTCTAATTTATTGGAAATGCGATAACTCTGAAGCATTCGCTGGTGCTGATGGCTTCACGGTCCATTAGGGGATGATAAATTTGAAGAGGTCCTGCTGGTGTTCGCAGAGAGAGCCAACTTTGATTTCTTTCCAGTCTCAGTCCATCGCTTCACTTCCTTCACTTCTTCATTTTTAGTATTAATCCTGGGATGGTTCAGCTGTACTGAAGTCTCTTTACTCACCTGTGCCAACAGTTGGAGAAGAGACTGTGATCCAGCTTTTGAATAAATCTGTTTTGAAGCTTCTCTTTGGCTACCACGCACACAGCATGTCTTCTCTAAATATTCAGTTTTTGCACAGTTTTGATGAAGTAAATCTGACTTTTTCTGTCTGTATTTGTATTTTGGTTCATGTGTTTCATGTGGATTTTCTCACACATATACAGAGGCTTTGTTCTTATTGTATTGTATTATCATATATACACACTATATTGCCAGTAAGTATTCACTTGTCTGACTTCTCATGCGTATAAATTTGAGTGATGTCTCTCTCTTGATCCATAGGTTTTAAGATTGTTATTCCAACCTTTGCAACTATATTAGCTTCAACTCTTCTGCGAAGGCTTTCCACAAAGTTTAGGAGAATGTTTATGGGAATTTCTGAACATTGTTCCAGAAGTACTTTGGTGAGGTGAGACACTGATATTGGTTGAGGTCTGGTGTGCAGTCTCCATTCTAATTCATCCAAAAGTTCTTCTATCAGGTCAGGATTCTGCAGGCCAGTCAAGTTCTTCCACACCAAACTAACACATCCATGTCTCTGTTATTTACATTAAAAGATCTTCATTCTGTTCTTCTGTGTCTATGATATTAAATTGCAACACTTTTAAATAAGAGCTTGTTTCCATTTTATTCTTGAGTAGTATTGGCAGATATTCCTCTCAGGCTGTTTGCAAGTTTCACATCGTTGATCATACAGTAAGCCTGCATGTAGCCTGGCATGTGAAGCCCACAGCAGTAAAATAACTGCACCAGTAGAAGCTGATCTGCAGTTAGTAGTTACTCTAATGAGTGTATCAACATTTTTTACACTCAGTTTCTGTCATCGGCCCATGGAGAGAAAAGCGTTTAGCAAGAAAAGCTAAGACAGCAAAAAAAAGGACAAAATGTACAAAAGTGTAATGTCTGGTTTTGTCCATCCACCAGTTTTACTAAACAAAAATACATGTATGTCCAACTTCTTCACTAAAAAGATCAAAAAATCTAATCTAAATGAAGTTTGCAGCAGTAACATTTATATATATTTTTAATCTTGGCAAAATGGCAGCAGAAGGAAGATGTCGTTCCAGCTTTGTCTGATGTTTCTCACCGATATTCAGCTTTGAAAATGGTAGTAATAGGTTTACCCCAGAATATTTTTTAGATCCCTTTCTGATGAACTCGTATCTGCATGACAAAGAGGTCCAGCACTGTGGTCAATGTGTGTTTCTGCTTCATTTTACATTTCTGATGGGTGGAATCCTTTTTATTTCCTTTGACTGTGATAGTTTACTAAATATGTTTTTTAAGTGTTTTATTGTATTATTTACTTTTCGGTCTTTTTACATTGTCCTATAAATTACTTTCAATTGAAAGTTTGTAAAAAAAAGATGTACAAAAGTATTAATAAAATACGTTAATGATGACGGTTCAGCATGTTAATGTGACAAAGTGGAGAAGCAGTTGTAATTCTCTCCATTTGTCCCATATGTGTTTACCTTCTTTTTGCACATTGTACACATTATTCTGTTTCTATGTATTTGCTATGATTTGCTATTTGTCAAGTAACATTGCTTCACTCACTATCCCGGGTTTGTTTGTGTAAGCGTTTTGTTGCTGGCAAATCAAACATTCTGCAAATTAAGACAAATACTAAGTTATGTTTCTTTATACTTTATTATGTTACAGATTAAGTCATTTGTTCATACTTACTCTGTTTGTCTTTTCAGTCATCATGAGTGTCAGGTGTGGGGAAACGCCTGCTTGGCATTTCCTCATTTTAAAGTCCTGATCATGTCACACATGACATCATCAGGTCAAACCATGTGGAGGGGTTTCTTTTTCCAGAGAGATGCTTCCTTTTGTTTGTGTTAATGTTTAAAGGGATTTGTTGAATGTTTTTCCTTTTGTTAATACTGCCATTTAGTTGTGTAAATGTGCATATTAGAAGTGTGTAGAGGTTTTGTGTTTTTAGATAACCTGAGTAGAGTTTTAGATCCCTCAGTTGAGTGAGTGGTACTGGCTGGGCAATTGGAGGGAAATTGATGGCCCTATTTAAAGCCAGTCTCTACCAGATGCAGGAGAGAGGAGAGGTGAGCTGTGTCACCAGCAGTGTTGGTCAAGTTACTTGAAAAAAGTAATCAGTAACTAATTACTGATTACTCCCCCAAAAAGTAATCCCGTTACTTTACTGATTACTTATTTTCAAAAGTAATTAATTACTTAGTTACTTAGTTACTTTTTAAAAACATGATTTACAACCTGAAGAGGTGATAAAGTGAGATCTTTCAGCCCAATTCTACTTTTTCTACATAATCCATCATACAAAATGTAATCAAATGGAAAAGTCTCTTTTTTTAACTTGTTTTATCAGTTTTAATCTTTTAACTTTATGCATCAAGCAAAACATTTAATTATCTGCAACATTCTCTGACTTGAATAAATTAGTTTAACATTTAAACCTATTTTCTACACATTCCAGCACATAAAATAAAATATTTTTTGTGTTTTCACTCACTCTTTCAAACAGATGCAAGTAAAACACAGCAGAAAATAAATAAAGTCAAAGACTCAGCGGTCCTTTTGCTCTATTTTCACCTGTAAAGCAGGAGCAGGGTAGGCGGAGGGTTACCCTGGTGTAGGTGTGCTGCGGTCAGTTGAAGAATCCGCGCGAGTGTCTCTGTGAGTTTCCCATCACGTCGTAGCTACTCGGTGCTTGCTCGGAAGTTTAGGGGTTTTTTTCGCTGTAAAAAGAAGTTTTCTTCCCACGCACGATGGACGCTAATGTTTTTGTCACTTTTTATGGAATCAAACTCAAAGTAAGGTCAGTACTTCCACACTTTAAACGCTGCACGCTCATACTCTCTCCCGCACTCGATATATTATCCATTGTTGATCTGCACACAGCTGCTGTCACCAACGTCGCACTTGCTTACGTCACTGTCATGAGACATTCTCGCAAAAAAAAT